TCAACAGGAAGATTAAACTTACTGGACTGAAGAGGCTTTCAAATTAGAGCTGAAGTTGGGGAGAGTCTAAAACAAGAAGAAGAAGAAGAAGAACGCAGAGTGTGAGGAAGAAGAACGCAGAGTCTGCAACAAAAAGGGAGAAAAAAGGTTATCGTGTGTTTTAGGGGTTTTTTACTGAGGGGTAATTTCGGAATTAAGAAAAGCTATAAGGGATAAGAATGTAATATACTTGGTCAAAGTAAGGTGGCTTTTAAGCCAATTTTGAAAAAGTTGGGTTTACCCAACTTGTTGGTTTTGATTTTTTTAAGCAAATTTTAACTTTTTTTAAGCCCTTTTTTTTTGTTGCCAAACACTACTAAAAGTTAAAAAGTAAGAGAGCCTTCGAAGGCAGCCACGTGCCATCCAAACAGGCTCTATATTTCACAACTTACCATGTAACTTTTATTTAAATTTCTAAAGTGGCAACTGTATGGGCTAAAAATGGTCATGATTATATGCGAGCTCAATCAATAGTAAGAGAGCCTTCGAAGGCAGCCACGTGTCATCAATTTGATGTCAACAAATGACGAAGGTGAGGTAGAGGACGAGGACGAGCATTCCCTTTAACAGAGTAGTAACGGCTAGTTTTAGAAATAAGACTTTAAAGAAAATATTCAAGTGAATATTCCTCAGATCTGTACTATTATAGTTTTTGTGGCCCATGTGCCCTTATAAATAGAAAGATATGTAGGTATAGAGGGGGATTGGACACTCACTGTAAAAAATAATACATTGACATTTTTTGAATATTCTTGCTTTATTATACACATACAAAATACACCTTTTCCTCACATCTTTATCTAACTTTTCTCCCACGATCCAAGGAGAATCTGAATATTCAAAGGCTTATTAATCATTTATCATTGTCAGAAAGAATACTAAAAAATCTCACCCTTTTCGAGTGACTCACATGCTTTTATTCACTTAAATGTCATTCATTGTTATTTATTATTATTTAATGTTACCTCCTTTATTTTTGGATCATTGAATATAGTAGTATTGTCGCCATTTATTGTTACACCGATAATATCCGTGATCTCTCACTACAAAATCAGTTAATATATCTTTTGGATATTAATATTGGCTAAGATTAACTCTATTTTATTAGAAAAATCTAATTGTTTAAACATAGATCTAAATTTTGGGTCAAAAAGTTTCGCGCCGTCTTTGGGGATTTTCTCAGCCAATCTTTTAGTTTCCATTAGATCTACAACTCATATGAGTTGTTAATCTAACAAACCACAATGTTTATCTCTCCTCTCTGTGTATACAAAATTTCCATGAGAGGTAACTAAGGAAATAGGATGAGGGCAACAGATAATGTTTCCCTCAACCTTATGAATGCTATCAACGAAGACTATGACACCCATGATGAGGAGTTAATGTCCACGGCCTCTCCCAGACGAGAAAGGTCACCCCCACCTTTCTGCAGCACAACAAACCAAACGGGAAAGGGGCCTCCACGTCCACAGGAGAGAGGATGCCACCCGCTATGAAAAAGCTCCTCGAAGCATGGCTAATTGATACCCTAGTCAGCATGCTCAGTAAACAAGCTCCATGCACGACTGATGGTAGGCTAGAATCCAGTATTTTAGCCGTAGTATTGCACTCTAATTACTATATTTTATGTGTGTTTGAACTTAAATGATAATGAATTACACTTATTACGTGTTTATGCCTTGCAGGAAACGATTCTGAGCTATTAAGGTAATCTGGAGCTAAATCGAATAAGTTAGAGCTTTGAAGTTTGAGTAGAAGCCCAAAAAATTAAGTCGGGATCACGTTCAGGGGTCGAGGACCAAGCCCGGATGTCAAACAAAACTATTTACTCTGAGAAAACCTCACAGTCGCAGCATGGGCCACCGTGAGGCGCGACGCAACTGTGTAATTGTTGTTGCCTGACAAAATCGCACCTCTCTGAACTTCCTCACAAGCACTCCGCATGGCGTGGCGCAGGGCGCGGAGCGCATGTACAAGTTTGTCAGAGTAGTCTCTTGTTTCGGCTAGGAAAGGGTAGTTTCATCCGGGCTTGTTTCTACATGGTATAAATACACCAAAAATACGATTTTAGAGGACTTTTTACCTACGAAAGATTTGAGAAGCAACCAAGGCAAGAAGACACAAGAATTTATCAAGATTTAAATCAACAATCGGTGCAATACGAGAGTTTGTATCGTATCATTAGTATTGATGTTTTCTTTACTTTTGAACCTTATTGAGATGCCTTACTCCATTGCTATGGAGTAATTTCTATTAGGGTGTTGACAGATACGGTGATTTGATAACTTGATTAGGAATTCGATTCTTGATAATTGTTAGAATTAATTGATGGAGTTTTAATTCGTATTGTGGAGTTATTTCTTACTTTTCTTACTCAAAAGAGGAGCTTGATGTTGAATTGCTTTACATCTTATGCTCTAGTTTAAATTCGTGATTCAAATAGGTAATCGAAAGAGCCTCTTGAATTTCTGATCGAACTAGAAAATAGGGAAATATTCGTGAGAAGTTACTCTTTAGATCATAACCATCATTTTATTGTTGCAATTGTTTATCGTGCTTCAATTGGATTAATTACTAAAATTAGCGTTTACCAGAAGAGGATCATTAACTTCAAGTGTAATCTGATTATCTGTTGAATTCGTGAGAATCAACAATATTATATAGTGAACTAGTTCAAGAATTGAATCCCGAGTCAATTATCTTGCACCTATCTAGTCAATTATCCTTATTTCTCTCATTGATATTTCTTCGTTGCTCATCAGCTGTCTTTTGTAATCAGTTGTTAATTGTTTAAATTTTAGTAGTTAATCGTAGTAATAATCATCAAATCAAGTGTTAATTTTCCTGGATATTAATCAACTTGAGATTATTCGAGCACTTTTAAATCCAATCCCTGTGGAGACGATAATTAAACTATACTATCTTTGACTAGCGAGTAATAATTTTGTGTTGTGTTTTGCGCTCGTCAAATTTTGGCGCCATTGCCGGAGATTTGCAATCAATAGTGTTTAAATAGTTTTTAGTACTAATTCAGGACCCAATTTTTACTTTAGTGTATTCATGTTTTCTCGCTTGTGCAGGATACATGCTTAATTTCTCTGGTATATGACTCGATATTCTTCAAAGGAAGTGATACCATACAAACCAGAGTTGGAGAAACACCTACGACAACTGAGAAAAGAAAGAGCATTAACAAAAAATTTGTTGGGTCATACTTCGACTCAAGATAACATGGCAAATCAAGAGATTGATGGAGTAGACTTAGTTGCAAGAGAAGCAGCACAACAAGAAGTTGCATGGATAGCAGCTGAAGCAGCTCGGAGAGTTGCTAAGGAGGCTGTCGGAGATGGTGGGGGTCGAAGATTCAATCTAACCGACCTTTGGTTGAAGACCAGTTCGAGAATATAGCACCCAGGCCTGGAAGAGCATTAGGTGACTATGCCAGACCAGTGTACAATCAAGGACTGTCAAGTGTCAAACCTCCATCCATAGCGGCAAACAACTTCGAGTTGAAGCAAGGCTTGCTTCAAACCATCCAAAACAACTGCATCTTCAGATGGAAGGTGAATGAAGATACAAACACTCATTTGATGGACTTTGAAGAAATCATGAACACCTTCTAGTACAATGGAGTGTCAAAAGATGCGGTACTCTAGGGCATTCCCCTTTTTATTGAAAGATGACGCGAAGCATTGGCTTCGTAGCTTACCCACAGGGTCGATCAGGACATGGGAAGAGATGACCAAAAAGTTTCTTGACAAGTACTTCTCAGCTGCAAAAATAGGGAAATTGAGAAGGGAAATCCACAATTTCTGCCAGAATGAGACAAAAACGGTTTTCGAAGCTTGGGAAAGATTCAAAGAGATAGTCAGAAAGTGTCAGCACAATGGTATTGATTTGTGGATGCAACTCCAGGATTTTTGGGATGGACTGACACCTTCATTGCGACGAACTCTGAATACTGCATGTGGAGATCTACTAATGAAGAAAACTCCGGAAGAGGTTGTCTTAATCCTTGATGAATTATCTGAGGATGCTAACTAGTGGCCTGCTGAGAGTAATGACAGAAGAAAATTAGTTGGGGTTCACCAGGTGGACTCTAACACATCCATGCAAGCCCAGCTAGACACTATGGCCAAGGAGATAAGAAAGCTGACATTGGCCAAGGTACAGAGTGAGCCACAAGCAGCATGTTAATTTTTTGGAATGGGACACCCTACACATGAATGTCAAGCTTCAGCTGAGGAAGTCAAAACTATGGGAAACTATAATAGAGGAAACTACCAAGGTGGGAACAACTATAATGCTATGTGTCAAAGACATCCAGGTTTTTCGTGGAGTTCACCTAGTGGGAGTTTGAACTCATGGAAGCAAAATAATCCTAGACCCCAGGGTCAAGGACCACCAGGTTTTCAGAACCAGCGTAGGCAGCAATACCAGCCACAACAGTCAAATCAGTCTAGTATGGAAGATCTCATGGAGGCGTTCATTAACAAAACAGATGAAAAATTTGACACTCAGGGCACGACTATCCGATATTTAGAAAGGCAAATGGGACAAATTGCAAATTTATTATCCAAGAGGGCTCCTGGGGCTCTACCCTGTGAAACTGAAAAGAACCCAAAGGAAACAATCAAAGTTGTATCTCTGAGAAGTGGTAAAACATTGGCTGACCCAATGGTGAAAGCTAGACCCGAGGTGGTGAACAAGCAGACTAAGACACCGGAAGAGAAAAAGAGTGAAGAGCAGAAAGGCCAGAGTAGTGGGGTATAAAAGGAGATGGAAGAAAGTAGACATATGCCAGCTCTACCATTCCCTCAAAAGATGAAGAGGGAAAAATTCGAAAAATGTTTTGGGCGATTCTTGGAGATGCTCAAGCAACTTTATGTGAACATTCCATTCACAGAGGTACTCACTCAGATGTCTTCTTATGCAAAGTTCTTGAAGGAAATCATGTCTAGATGGAGAAAATTATCAAGCTGAATGGCCACTGCAATGCCATATTGCAAAATAAAATTTCCCAAAAGTGTGGGGACCCAGGAAGCTTCATCATACCATGCTCGTTGGGGAGTGAGAAAATCGACAAGGCCCTCTGTGATTCTGGTGCGTCTATAAATCTAATGTCTCTATCTGTATTCAGGAAATTAGAAGGTGGGCTTGGAGTGATCAAATCAATAACAGTGTCCGTACAACTGGCTAACCAGACCACCATTTTACCTGAGGGAATCACTGAGCATATCCTAGTTCGGGTGGACAAGTTTGTGTTCCCCGTAGACTTTATTGTGGTGGATATGGAGGTGAACAAGGAGGTGCCTCTAATTCTAGGGAGGCCATTTTTATGTACAGGTAGAGCTATCCTTGATATCTATGAGGGGAAGCTTATGCTCAGCGTGGGCAATAAGAAAGTGGTATTCCGGATGATGAAATACCCAGTGATGAGGCGTCTGCCTACTCGTTCTTCAAGCTAAGTGCTATTGGAGAATTGGCTGAAAAATACAAGTTTGACAAGCTTGTGGGGGATACTCTAGAGAGGTGTATTACTCAGTCTAGCACAGTGGATAATGAATATCTTGAAATAAAGAAAGAGACTAAAGCTCTTGAAACTGAGGATCAAGTGGTTGATGAGGAGGAACTAAAAGATGAGGCTTTTAAGCCTAATGTGGAATTGAAAGTCTCCCCACTCACTTGAAATATGCTTTTCTTGAAACTAACAATTTTTCTATGATTATTTATGCTGACTTGACAGGTACACATGAGCAAAAGCTGGTGGAGCTGCTGAAAAAGCACAAGAAGGCCATTGGCTGGAGTATAGCTGATATTTAAGGAATTATTCCAGCGGTTTGCATGCACAAAATTCTGTTGGAAGAAAATAGCAAGCCAATGGTGTAGCCCCAATACAGGTTGAACAAAAATTTGGAGGAGGTAGTGCACAAGGAGATCATCAAATTGCTAGATGCGGGAGTAATTTTCCCCATCTCTGATAGCTAGTGGATTAGTCCAGTGCAAGTTGTACCTACGAAGGGGGGCATGATAGTGGTGAATAATGAAGACAATGAATTTATCCCCATAAGAACAGTCAATAGGCGGAGAATATGCTTTGATTATAGAAGGCTGAATGATGCAACAAGGAAGGACCACTTCCCACATCGCTTTATTGATCAAATGCTCAAGAAAGTGACTGGACATGGATGTTATTGCTTCTTGGATGGGTAATAAGGCTACAATCAGAAGACCACATTCACTTGCCCGTCAGGTATTTTTGCTTATAGAAGGATGCCATTTGGGTTGTGTAATGCACTTGCCACTTTTCAGAGGTGCATGATGTCTATATTCTCCGATTTAAATGGGAAGTGTCTAGAGGTATTCATGGATGATTTCACCTTCTTTGGTTAAGACTTTGAGGATTGGTTGAAGAATTTGGAGTTTGTGCTTGAACGTTGTAAAGCCACCCACTTGGTTCTTAACTGGGAGAAGTGCCACTTCATGGTGAAAGAGGGAATTGTCCTGGGCCACAAAGTGACTGCACATGGCATTGAAGTTGATAGAGCTAAGGTTTATGTAATTGCTAGGCTCCCTCCACCGACTTCTGTGAAGAGCATAAAGAGTTTCCTGGGATATGCTGGGTTCTATAGGAGGTTCATCAAAAACTTTTCCAGCATTACCATGTCGTTGACTGCATTTCTAGCGAAGGATGTCAAGTTTGTTTTCACTGTGGAGTGCTTAAGAGCATTCGAATTGATAAAGGAAAAGCTTGTGAGTGCTCCTATTATAGTGATACCTGATTGGAACCAAACATTTGAGATAATGTGTGATGCTAGGGATGTAGTTGTGGGGGCAGTTTTGGGGAAAAGAAAAGATAAGGTGTTTCGGCTCATCTACTACGCAAGTAGGACGTTGAATAATGACCAAGTCAACTATGCCACTACTGAGAAATAGTTCTTTGTTGTGGTCTTTGCTTTTGACAAGTTTAGATCAATTTGGTGGGGAGTAAAGTGATTGTACACACTAATCACTCAACCTTGAAATACCTGTTGAGTAAGAAGGAGTCTAAGCTGCATCTGATGCGGTGAGTGTTGTTGCTCCAAGAGTTTGACTGGAGATCAAAGATAGGAAGGGCATAGAAAATCAAGTTGCAGATTATCTATCTCGACTTGAGAGACATCTGGTTGAAACAGTTGAAATAAAGGAAGAGTTCCCTAATGAGCAGATTTTCTGCATTGCTGCAGTCTCTGAAAGGCCGCCTTGGTATGCTGATGTAGCCAACTTTTTGGCTAATGGATGGTTGCCTCGTGACCTCTCTCGTGATCAAAGAAGGAATTTTCAAGGTGAGGTAAAACGTTATTTTTGGAATGACCCTTTTTTGTTTAAACTGTGTGCAGATGGTGTGATTCGAAGGTGTGTGCCTGAAGGAGAGGTGGCAAGCATTCTTTCTCATTGCCATGATGGATCAGCTGGAGGACACTATGTTGGAAATCACACTGCAACAAAGGTCATGGAAGCTAGTTTCTATTGGCTTACTTTGTACAAAGACGCACCGGCGTATGTAACTGCATGTGACAAGTGTCAAAGGGCAGGTAACATTAGCAAGATGGATGAGATTCAACTAAACTCCATTCTGGTATGTGAAATTTTGACGTTTGGGGTATTGACTTCATGCGCCCGTTCCCATCATCTCATATTTATGAGTATATCCTAGTAGCCATTGACTACGTCTCTAAATGGTTCGAAGCAATCCCTACTAGGACCAATGATGCTCAGGTGGTGTGTGAGTTTTTACGAAAGAACATCTTTACCCGCTTTGGGACACCAGTGATAATAGGTCGCACTTTGTGAACAAGCAGTTCAGTGTATTGTGTCTAAGTATGGGGTCGCACACAAAATATGAACCCCGTACCATGCCTAAACTAGTGGGCAAGTTGAAGTGGCTAATCATAAACTTAAACGAATTCTTAAAAAGACGGTTAGTGCTTCTCGTAAGGATTGGTCTATAAAGTTGGATGAAGCTCTATGAGCATACAAAACTGTGTTCAAAACAGCCATAGGGACTTCACCGTTCAAATTAGTGTATGGAAAATCGTGTCATCTACCTGTTGAGATAGAACATAAAGCTTATTGGGCAATTAAGATGCTTAATATTGATCTTATTCTTGCAGGTGAACACAAGCTGGCGCAGATGAACGAATTGGAGGAGTTCAGATTGGACGCGTATGAAATACGCGAATCTTTAAGGGGAAGACAAAGAGGTGGCTTGATCGACTGATTAAGCCAAAGGAGTTTCATGAAGGGGACAAAGTCTTACTATACAATAGTAGACTTAGGTTGTTCCCCGAAAAATTCAAGTCACGATAGACATGTCCTTATATGGTGAAACATGTCTCAACGTGTGGAGCCATTGAGATCCAAGATGAGGAAGGAAATGAAAGCTTTAAGGTGAATGGGCACAGGTTGAAAACGTACCTTGTTGGAGGATTTGACAAGCAATACCCTAGCATCGTGATCAAATTAGCCTAAGTGACGGAGTCAAGCTGACGACTATAACTCAGAACTACTTCTAAACCTTTTTTCTTGCTTTTGCAGAATAGTTAGATAATTGTAGTGTAGGATTATTAGAGTTTAGGAGTTTAGATAATTATTTTAGCAGGTATGAGAACGAATTTCACGCACCGCATGGGGCGCCACGCCAGGCCAAACTGCTCCTCTAACAGAATTCCAAGTCTTTGAATATCCCCACTACTGCGCCGCATGGGGCGCTGCACCCAGCGATGTGGTAGTGTAACTTTTGGCCAGTTTTGCTTTAAAAAATTTAAAATTGAAAAAAAGGGACGCCCGGTTATGTGCTCTAACACCCGTCCCACCCCTCTTTTCCTCTTCTTCTTTTAGCTCTCTTCTCAAATACTCTCTCTAACTCACACCCAAATCCCCCATTCTTCCTCTTCTTCTTCAAATTTCTTCCCCTCAAATTCTCCCACCTCCATCACTCATCAAGGTAAGTTCTCTTTTCTCATCTCTTCTCTTTTAATAGTAATTTTAGGTAGTTTAGCTAATATCTCTAACCTAGGTAGTTTTTTAATTTTTTGGTAATATTCATCTTTTGGCCAAAATTTTTGCTTAAACTTGTGAGGTTTTCATTGTTCTCCTTATTGTGGTAGATTTTTAGTATGTTTTGGTGGAACTGGAGTTATTTTATGATGAAGTTTGGTGGGAGTGCCACTATGGCGAAAAAATGGTAATATTTGTGTTAAAATTGAGCACTTTGTGCTATTATGAAGATGGGATGATGTTGTGATTGTGTTGAGTGGTGTGTTTGATGTGGTTGTATGGTGGTTCTGACCCGTTTTGCATTGAAATAAGATGGTGAAAAGTTTGCCGACAATGTGTTTGTTGAAATGCCTTAGTGGTATAGAATTGTGTTAGTGTTGCTAATTTAGAAGGGAAGTGTTTTGTGGAATGTATTGCTAGATGATAAGTGTGGGGTGGGAGGTCATGTTCTCATGTTGTGAAATTTTAACATGTTAGCCCTGAGTGCTAATCGATTGACCACCCCATGCTAATTTGTTGCTAGGTGCTAATTGGGGTGTCCGATTCATGCTAAATACTTGTGTAGTATTATATTGTACCTTCTTAATTTTGTTAGTAATAAATTAGTGTAACTTTTTATTTTTCTTACCTTAGTTACTAGTGTAGCTTCTTGATTTTGTATTTTACACTAGTATAGTTCGTGGTAATGTTGTTGTACTATAATATTGGTGGTTGGGTGGGTCGTTGATTACTTGTGGCGTGCTTTCAATGGGGTAGTATGAGTCCATGATATACATTGTACATGTGAACATGCCAATAACATAAGTGTGGGGTGATTACCCTGTTTGGTCTTGTTTTTTTTTAAAGTTTTGTGGCTAATTTTGTTCGTCTTGTGCAGGTACAATGTCTCACTGTCCTAGCAAACGTTCTAACACAGATTCCTCCGAGGTTGCCTCTAGTAGCCGTCGAGGAGGTAGGCGAGCACCTCCCCCCGCCTAGTGGATGAGGAAGAGTAGCGCATTGATCCAGATGCGGATGTAGTACCGGGCTGCAAGTATGGCATTCGGGCTGTGCCATCTCATGCCAGGATATGGTACCGGACCTTTGTTCCGACGATGAGCCTTGACCTGGAAGTTAGTATTGATGATGGCAAGCCAACCAGGAAGTACTCGGGGATTTACAACAACAACAACAGATACTTGGTTTTTGAAAGCTTGTTGCGTCCCGGTATGTCGGTGAACGTGAACATGGTCAAGGAGTTTTGTGCTAACTGGCAACATGAGGGCAGTTTAGATGTGGTGTATGAAGTGGAGGTGAGAGGCAAGATGATTCCCTTTTCCTCATGGGTAATCAATCAAATCATGGGATTCACGGAGTACTCTCATAAGTTGTTCCTGAGGTTGCTGCGTCGGTCCCCCTATCCTAATATTAGATACCAGTTGTGTTGCACGGGTTCTTTTGCCACATGGACGCGAGATGATAATGAGTTCCACAAAGACATGAAGAAGTGCAATTTCCAGCGTCCCCCCGGAGTCATTCTCCAGTTGATTAATGCAAAGATCATGTCTACCCAGAACGACACTAACGTCTCCCGGTTGAAGGTGTGTCTCATTTATGCTATCTTGACTCGGATGAAGTTTGATCTGGGTAAGATTATGCTTGAGCACATGG